CCTTTAGAACTGTACGAGAATACATTCCTTTTGTTTTAATGCACCAAGTGGGTGGGAATTTGTTATGGCAGCTTTAGAAAATGTATTCAACCATCTATCACAAACAGGCACTGAGGGCTTATTATAGAGGTAACCCTGTGCCGGGAGCTGGGGATTCAGCTGGGAAAAGGAGAGTCATGATCCCTCCCCTTAGGGCCACGAGAGGTAGTCATCAACTAAAGTGAAAATTTGGTTTCATCTGCAGCTATTTATACATTTTGCCAGAGAGGTAACTAAAAATAAAAAACATCCGATTGCCTCAGAGAAATGATGGAAGATCTTTGCAAGTGCAGTTAGGGTGCGTGATATTAAAATGCCCCATCAATTCTGTCACAAAAGGTAGTTTATTTGGTAGAAAAAAATTCTGTTGCTAGGCAATTATGGGGGATGGACTTTCTGCATGATTTTTACAAGAGCTAAAATATTGACGGCATCTGTGTGGGTACTCGTGTATTTTCTTACCTAGGATCCACGTAGCCATTCTGCATTTTCATCTTACATAGAAGCGAGGATGAGGGAGGCTGAACGACTTTCCCAGGGCGAAAGATAGGAAGTGATATTTGCTGGCTTGTCACTTTTTGCTAGTTCTGGTTTTGTTCTTCTAGAATCCTTAAGAAGGCCTGGTAATTGGATATCAATAACTCTGCTTCTGGCCCAAACCTGTGGCACAGACTGAACAGGGGTGCGGCACATGGGTGGAGGGCAGTCTTCCCCACCTTGACTAAGCCCAAACCCTGGCAGCCAGGTTGTGTACAGGTGGCGGCACCATCTAACCTCCTTTTGATAAAGGTTCGTAATCCTGCACAAATTTCACATCGGTAATTGATAATCCACTCACCTCACCCCTGCCCATCCATCCACGTACATCTAGTAGAAGTAGGAAAGGTTCAGGAGCTCCAAAGCATCATCTTTTGAGATTTTATGATAGAATGATTCCCACTCCGGTGAAAGCACATGGTGAGAGTTTATTCAGATTGCTGCTACTCAACCAAGTGAGGGCCAAGCCACTTCTACTCTCTTAATAAGCACTATTGAATTATTGCCCTTAAAAAGAGTATTTAGATGATCCACCTGAAGAAGTACCAATTTATGATTTTGTAGTTCAAACACCATTTTCAGTTGCTGACTTAGTGGAAATTGGTCCTAACTACTGGATTAGTAACAATGATTTGCTTCCAGAACGTCCTGTAATTTAGAAGTAGAGCATTCCATGTACAGGAAAATCAAATCGGCTGGATAATTAGAGCAGCTGAGAATGAGAAACAGCACATCCTGGCCATCAGTGGGAAAGGACTGTGACCAGCGGTTCATCAGGATCACGTAGGACCCGCGTGTGCCAGGCCCACTGCACTTCCAGGGCTCGGTGCGCCAGGCTCCCTGCTTGTGGCTGGTGGGGCAGGAAGAGGTTTGCATGTACCACTCACCAAGTCTGCAGACACTCACCTCCTCATCTCCCATTAGAGGGGCTAGACAGCTGGGGTCTACTTGACACATTTTCTTCTATTCATTTTGAAATAATCTAAAAGTTAATCCGATTTAGGTGGAAACGGGAAGAGATGGGTTTTGGTCAAATAGAGGACCTGTGTGGCATGTTACAGATAAACAACATTAAATCAACCACAAGGTAAGTAGGGCACCTTCTATTACTATGTCGGCAGTGGGTTTTCTTCTCTTTTGAGAAGTTATGGCAATAATTGGGACTATTCCGTTGATCCAGCTAAGCAGGGGCATGGTCTCTCGTGCTTTTGGAAAATAAAACAGAAAGCTCATTTTCCTTCAGAATCCCTGCCCCTTAATAGCATCTGCCTAAAAAAATGCTTTTAAACCTGCACTGCTCTCTGAAGGGGTTCCAATGAGGGACAGCCAGATGCTTCTGAAAACGGAAGTGGGCTAGGAAATGGAGACAGTCACCCTTTCCAAACAATACTCGAATTGTGTACCCAGTGGAATATACTTTTGCAAACCTCAACTTTCAAATAAAGAATAAAAAACATGGTAGCTATACAGGAAGAGCTGGGTGCTTGGGAAAGCTTTTATAGCTGCTTTATCTGGTCTCTTAAAAAAAACATCCTGGATGATAATACTGATTTAGATAAGGTCATCTACACTAGAACTCTGTACATAGCAGCTGGTGGTAGACCTGGACAGGATTAGAGCAATTCAGTCAACGTCAGAGCCCTTGATTTAGAAGATTAAGGCATAAGATTGGAAATGGCAAAGGGAATAGAGTCGATTCCCAGCTCAACCCAACCTTAGAAATACAGACTCAATGAAAGGAAATGGATTCTAATCCAGCATCCCTCCCAGCAGGTGGTATGAAAAAAATAATTTGCATCACTTTGGAAGAAAAACTGTTCTGAAATTGTAAAGGTTATGGAAATTGACAACTTAAAAAAAAAAGTTTTAAAATGTTTTATTTTTGAGAGAGAATGAGAATGGCAGGCGGGG